TCCATGTAAAAACGCAGTTTTTACATCCATCTGAACTAGTTCCAAATCCAATTGTGCTACCAAAGCCAACATAATTCTAATGGAGGAATGTTTTACAACTGGAGAAAATACTTCATTGTAATCAATTCTCTCCTTTTGAGCATATCCTTTGGCCACCAATCTTGCTTTGTAGCGAACATCTTCTTGGTTAGGAAATCCTTCTTTCTTTGCGAATACTCATTTGCCCCCAATTACTTTCTTTCCCTTCGGGAGATTGGCCGGAAAAATGCATAAGTACCCCCCTGACCTATACCCGAAATTCCAACTACATACTTTTTCTTTGCGGAAATTCTATTACCCCTCTAAACTTATTTTAAATGGAATTATTTGTACCTTTAACGCTGACGTGGCAGAGTGTGTGTATTTCACTCTCCCAAAGGAGAGTGAGAAGAAGGAAAAAACGATTTTTCAGATTATTTTTTATTCTTTTTTACCATTTTTTCTTACTTTTTTTTCCTTTCCTTTTCCTTTTTCTTTGTCTTTTTTCTTTTACTTTTTTTTCGCTTCTTCTCTATTTCCGGCGGATATTTATTCACCGGCGACTTTGTCTAACCGTTTTTCTTCCATTTTTACTTTTCACACAAAAATTAAACTCTCAAAAAGATTTATTTATAAGCAAAGCAAAATACACTCAGATTTGAGGGGGAAAATTCATCATCGGAAAACCTTCCCACGCCGGAAAAAAAATAATGTATTGAAATTTTAGCTGGAAAAAGTTTTCTCANAATAACAAAATAAAAATGAGAATAATAAGAAATAAGAAAAAAGGATAAGAAAAAGAAGAAAGAACAAAAAAAAGTACTAAAAATACATGTGGAGGCGCGTGTAGCTCACCACTTGCCAAGAGTTTGGTTGTCAGCATTAAGGGTGCAAATAATTACATTTAAAATAAGTTTAGGGGGGTAATAGGATTCCCGCAAAAAAAAGTGTGTAGTTGCCAGGTATAGGTCAGAGGGTACTTATGCATTTTCCCGAGATTTGCCAATCTCCATATATGATTCTGATGAAGCGATTGTATTTCATCGTTCATGGAAATCCTCCACTTATCTTCTTCTGAACTNGGGAGATTGGCCAATCTCCATGTATGATTCTGATGAAGGGACTGTATTTCATCATTCATGGCAATCCTCCACTTATCTTCTTCTGAACTTTGGACTGCATCTTTATAAGTGGTAGGAACATCATCAACTACAATTGAGGCGACACAAGCAACCGTCTCTATGAGACGAACAGGTTTTGTTATTGTCCTTTTTGGCCTGCTAGTTGCTATTGATTCAAGTTGTTGTTGAGGTTCCTGAGTTGGAATCTCCCTCTCTAGTGGATCTTCTTCCAGAGGATAATCTTCATTTGTTTCCTCCCCTGCTTCTTGTGTAGGAAAAATAAATTTTCCCTCAAACTCCACCTCCTTAGAAGCACCCTCATTTTGTTTGGTATCTTCTGTTACCTTATTTACCATAGCAGATTCATCAAAGGTAACATCCCTGTTGAATATTACTTTCTTTGTCATAGAACACCATAAGCGGTATCGTTTGACTCCAGAAGTAATCCCCATAAAAATAGCCTTCTTTGCCCTTGGATCCAATTTTGACTCTGTCACATGATAATATGCAGTTGAGCCAAATA